CTCCAAATGATTCACATTTTTGACAATAATCGCATTCAAATTGGATTTGAATTTCGTTTAGCCAATTTGCAGGAAGTGGCTACCGATCGGCCATAATACCCTGACAGGTCAGGTTTTGTTTGAGTATATTGAATGTAGTTTTCTTCAATATTACAAAAATATGTGCTGAAAACAATTCTTATTTATTTCATGGCATTAAAAGCTGTCACTGCAAGCAGTATAAAGCCAAAAATCCAAAAATTGTTCATCTAATGGGCTGGACCCACTAACCAAGAGTCTTGAGCACGTTTGGCTTTCGCAAGCCAGGAGCCAGACGGAGCGAGCGACTTGTGTGCTTGCTTATGAATATTTATAGATTATTGGCTTGAAAATAAATGGAGCCGCACGAGTGAGAAGTAGAGAGAGACCCAGTTTATGGGCCTGACTGAAATCCAAACAGTGGCTGGTCTCCGGTCTCTGTGGTCTCTGTGGCTCTTGGACCATGGGGACTGGTACCAGGTAGCCGACATAATAGTGGCAATAATGCTTATAATATAATCGATTTCGGTCCAATATTTTGTAAAGTGCTGCAATTTTCGACTTGTTGTCGCTTTATGCACACTTTGATTAACATTTTTTGTTGTGTGTGTGTGTGTGAGTGTGTGTTTTATTTTGGCTTGCATCTTAATTTATTCACATTTCTTCAGTTGGGCCATAATTTAAGTTCGTTTTAAATTCATATTTACATTTGTGCATTTATGTTACAATTTTGTTTAAAGTTTGAAACCTGATTAGTCGTTGTTTATATATTTATTACATCATTGAAATGACCCAAGTTGGTTTTAGGTTGACAATTTCGTAAATGTGGTTGGCGGATTTGTTTTATTGATTTCTTTTTGCTGCTTTTTTCAATTCCCATCTCAAATCCAAACCCAAATCAGGCAGCGTGGAGTGTTGAAAATTATGCAAATGCTTATTGATTTTCTTTGTTTCTCCATTTTTTATAGAAATCTGAAAGGGGCTTGAACCTGAAACTCCTCGCAGACAAACAGTTTTATGATACTTTAATATATTACTTTTTCTTCATGCTTAACTGCATTTTGACGCCTCATAAAACGACTATTTACCATTAACGATTGCATGATGCTTATGAGATGATAAATTGGTACCCGGTCCATCTTCTTGTGGATACCAAAAAAAACTTCGGCGTCCGTCGCAGCAGGAAAATGACATTGACCTTTGACTAAGACGTAGATTAATGTGGGACAGAATACTCGGCTTATTAATCGGGGACATAAATATTATTTTCAACGGGCAGAATGACCTAATTTCACCTACATTCAAAGTAAACGCATCATCAAACTTTTTGAAACGTGAGAATCTAAGTTTGACATATTGATTTATTTACGAAACAAAGATAGTATCGGGAGCGTGAAGTAAGATTGTTAACTATCGTCTTATTAGTATGTAAAATGTATATGTAAAATATGTATGTAAGTATGTAAAAAATGAACAACTTTACAACATCTGTAACTCATATAGCTGCTAATCATTATAAATATATCGATCATGGATTTCATATAAAACTATTTTTCCTAACTGTTTGCCTAACAATCCGAGAGATTGGAAGTACAGTGTGGCAGGTGACAACGCCCTACTATGCGATTCACATAAAATTCTTGCTCCAATTTACTATCTTTTGTCTGATTTTCAATCAGCTGTTTTCAATTTTTAGTAATATGGATGTCTTAAAACTCTATAAATTTCGCTGTTTATTGTATTTCTCTAAGTGAATTTCACAACAAATTATGTATAATGTGATGTACCTTAATACTAAGACGCTGTTCTTGAGCATTTCTTCACGCAAGCTTGGAAATTCGGTGGCAAGTTGTTGCATGAAACTGTTTTCATTTTCCCCCCAACCGGCTCATTTTCACAATAATTTGTGTAAATGTCGACTATTGTATGCAACTTGCTGATTTTCATTAGAGCCGTTGCAAACTTATTTCCAAGCATCAATGTAAATGTGGCAGAAAATTAGTTATTGCAAAGTAAAGAAATTGATGAAGGGATAAAGCTTTACTTAGCACGCTAATGCATTACTGGATGCTTGAAATTCTCAAACAGTTTAATTCTATGAGAATCTATCTAATCGCATTATGAAAATTATAAAGACCGAATGAGGAATTAAGCTTATTTGAGGTTCGAGAATGTTGCTAAAAGCGCAGACTTATGAAGCACAAATCAAGCAGAGCACAAAGCGTAGCTAATTATTTAAAATTTGTGAGGCAGTGTCTCGATGGAGAGAGGAATAGAAGAAAAACAATAATTAAATGTAATGCCAATGCGCTGTGGCATTTCGCCTTAGAAGTCAGGCTGTGAGAAAGCAGCGAAAAGTGTCAATAAACACAACAGATTTAAGACAATGTAAACAAATGCAATGCAATTAACACGAAATTCACATTAAAATAATGAGTTCAACCGACGAGATGCCGACTTCCGAGCCGACGCGCCGCCAGCTGCAGTATTTGGCGACCCATGAAACGAAACCTGTTGCAGACCCCCCCCTGGGCAGTGTTAAGGGGGTTTATAGGAAAAACTCACAGCTCATTAATAGATGCCTATCGCAGCTGGGGCTAAATGTCGCTTGAAATGCTGCGCTCGAAGCAACACGTGTAATGACACCAACGATCCGATGAAGATATCAATCTATCTGGTTTATATAAGAGCGGACTTCGAGCCAAATTGGGGTCGACCAGCGTCTCCAGTATCCACTGATACTGATAATGGATCGGCAACTACGTCAGCCACGTTGAGTCAGAGCATCGCATCAATATTTATACCCTTCGATTGATTAGTTCATTGCCGTTTCAACCAGTCGATCTGCTGACCACACGTCAAACGACTGCTGGTCTTACGTGCACGAGGGTTCACTGTGCCTGGATGCACACGCATTACTGCACGCCCCCACCAAGCATCCCACTTATCGCAATGTGGAACAATTACCTTTTAATTGGGCCGCTTTGATTGTTCGCATTCATTTGTGTGAGCATTTGCATTGGGCATTGATTATACGGGTTAGTCGAAAACGGAAAGGTTACGGACCATAACCGTCTAATCAAATTCAAAATCCGAGACAATGGCTGTCATTGAACTTCGACGTATTTGTGGAATTTGAACAAGAATTTTCAAATGTTATGTTCAATTTTAAATTATCAATAATTGGACAATTAAATGCGGTATGCACGCGAAGCAGTTGTGTTTATTACTAAGTTAGGTTCGGCAAAACTAACAAACTATTTCCCATCGATTGTGGACAGACTGCGTTTGAATGGAACTGTTTCTTATGTTTACCATCCAATCGCCTTCAACGTAATGTTCAGAACTTTTTATACCCTGAACCCATTAAAAATGGGTATAAGGGTATATTTTATTTGTGCAAAATCCAAATGTATGTAACAGGCAGAAGGAAGCATCTCCGACCCCATAAAGTATATATATTCTTGATCAGCATCAATAGCCGAGTCGATCTAGCCATGTCCGTTCGTCCGTATGTATGAACGCAAGGATCTCAGAACCTATAAGAGCTAGAGACTTGAAAATTTAGATTCCCGCGCAGATCGAATTTGTTTCCGATAATCGATAACTTACTCCGATTTCAAGTAATCGTTAAAAATCGATATCGATATCCTGTTTTTTGGGCAATTTTGGTAAATAATAGAGTCAGCAAACTTGACATATAGCTTCTAAAATAAAATATTTATATGCATTTGATATTGGAAGAAGAGGGTTAAGGGTATCCCCTAGTCGGGAGCTGCCGACTAGAACCTCTTACTTGTTTTTTAAATACACATGAGAGGCATTTCACAATTTTCTGAAAATCTGTCGATCTTACTTATTTTCTTATTATTTATTTTCTTGGCTTTGGTTGGTGAAGTTTCGGTTTTAAAATCATTTCCTAGAATCTTAAGAAAAATTCTTTTGCTATTTGATACACTCCCCCTTCCCTCTACATACGTTTCATTTTACTATACTAAAGTTGTTGGAATAGGTTAAATACAATTTTTGGTTTTTAAACTAATTTTCTAATATTTTTGTTGTATATGTATATTTTGAGGGGTGGAAGTAGGGTAGATTTATATGTACTACAGCTCTGTTCATGGTAAATGGCAATAAGAGTCCTCGGCTTAAATCTGTTTGGGTTAAGCTTTGGTTTTTGGACAGTTTATTCTATTGGGTTATGGTAAAAATAAATGTTTTATTGAAATTCTTACTAATTAGTATTGATGCTAATTGCAATTTGGCGAATCACGCCCGAGGGAAACACATGTTGAAGCTTCAACAGCTTCCTGTTAACAATGTGGCGTGCTGTCAATGCCTTTAATGACACATTTTGCTTTTCATAAACTGAGCAATTAAACAATGTCTGTTTTGTGTCTGGAAATTTGCATGTGAGTTATGTTTTGTTGAGAAGATTGCAAACTGAAGATAAATTAAAACAAATCTTTACAACATTAATCAAATGCTTTTCAGCAACAATAACTGCACTCTAAAAGTCATTCAACGCGTCGAGTAAGTCACCACAGTGCAAAAACAGAGAGAGAGAGAGAGAGAGAGAGAGAGAGAGAGAGAGAGTGTGTGTGAGAAAATGAGAGGCAGTGCGAAATGAACTTAAACTTCCACTCAAAGTTCCACTCAAAAGCTAACTCATGCTGACTATGAAAAATGCAAGTGGTTTTTGCTTTTGTTGTCGCTATCGTTTTCGTTTTCGTTTTCGCTTTCATTGGAAGCTTTCAAGGCAACTTTGGATGTGGCTTTGGCTTTAAGCCATCGACTAGCTTTGGGCCTAAGCAACACCAAACACAACGGCAACGGTTTGGGCCAAAGCTCGGCTCTGGCCGATTGTTGTTGTTGCTGTTGCTGTCTGTCTCGCTTGCGCCGTCGTCAGCTTTTATTGTTGTTGCTGCTGGCCCGATCATCGTGCGCTATATTTTTTGGACTGCGCAGCGCTGCCCAAGCGAACGTTAACTTTAGTGTGCGCCGACCAGTTTCCGTAGACGGCCACAAAAACGGCACGCAGACGCGATACGTCAAACCAACTACCAAAATTATAAATTTAAATACAAGCACACACACAAAAAAAAAAAAAATTAAACCCATTGAGATTCCCAAAAGCGCAGCTTATGTAAGGCTGCCTTTAAGTTCTTCCCAGTGCAGTGGCAAAGCGACGCCTAAACGGCGCTCAAAAGTGTAAACACAACAACAAACCCAACCAAGAAAAGGCAGCAGCTTCAGCTCCATTGAATTAAGCTCAATTCGCAATCTCCTCAACTCTCCGTTTTCGTAATCGTGTTGGGCAAAACAAAAGCAAACAACAAAAATAAAAATAAAAAGCAAAAAAAAAAAAGTGAATCTGCCTTTCAAGTAATCTCCATTTTAATTTCTATCTCGCTCGCACCCAACGGTCAGACAGTCTGCCATTTTTTCCGTTGCTGTTGCTGCTGCTGCTGCTGCTGCTGCTCTGCTGCGTCGCCGCCGCGCTTTTTTATTGTTTATGTTTTTTCGTGTTCTGAGCCCGGAGAAGGTTAAGAAATAATAAAAGCAATACAATCAGAATCACAATTACAATCGCAATGAAATGGAATGAGTGAAAAATAAATTTCGTTAACAACAACAACTACTGAAAAAGTCGTCTGCCAAGCAAATTTCACGCCGTATTTAATCTTAGCGCAGTGCCCGCCTGCAGTTTAATCGCTGTTCGTCTTTCTTTCCGTTCGTGTTGTGGGTTCTGTGTTCTGGTTCTGTGTGTTCTGTGTTTTGCCCTGCTCTGTTCTGTTCTGTTCTGTACTGTACTGTTCAACAGTTATCAGTAATCAGTGCACAGCAATCGGTGCGCGCTTGGCTCTCGTTATCGTTATCGTTATCGTTATCGTTGTTGCTATCGTCGCATCTCTTGGTCGGAGCCAGAGGAGAAGAGCACAGGGCGCAGGCGCAGACGTGTTGCAATTTTCAAAACACAATAACGGTATATTCGCTCGCTAAAGCTGTTCTACGTTCATAAGAGTATAACACAGTCATCAAGTCCATCGCAAACGAATATCAATATATGCGTATGAGAGTGCTGTACATATTTTAAAATTTCAAAAGGGATTTTCGTGTAAAGTTCGTCGGCCATTTTTGGCCGCATAGAAGTTAGATAAATTTCGGACTTAGGTAAGTTGACAATTGAATAGAGTTAAGAATATTTTAAGTCTATTTTAAGTTTTATCTTAGATACATTAGTTGAATATCTTGTTTATCAAAATTTATTCATGGCATACAATTTTTGCTTGGATTTATAATTCTGTGTCACATGATCTATTACTGCGAACTGACTTCTAGCCGTACCCTGACGGTTCTTTAAAAGTTTTACACATCTCCACAAGATTATTTAATACTTTTTTTTTTCAAGATTGGGGCTAACGAACGAATTTCGTTGGCTTTTACTAATTTGCAGACAAGTTTGTTTAATTAAAACCTTCACACATTTTGGAAAAATGTATCGAATTGTTAATTTATTGAATTGAAAAACTTGCTAATTGTCAAATAAGCAAATCGCATAATATGAAAAAAAATATTCAAATATTACTGTAGGCTGTTTTTTTTTTTAAGGCCCATTCAAAAAGTGGGCTTGTTTCTTGGTTTCATCAGAGTGCAATACGTAATTGATTTTATTTTATTTTTAGTTTTTATATGTTTGAATGTATGCAGCTATAAATGCATATAAAACGACTTTTCATTGTTGTTGTCGGGTATTTTGGCTGTGCACGTTATTATCTCATTGTTGTTGTTGCTGTAGTTGTTGTTTCTGGCCGCTTTGTGGCTTCGATCGTAGCGATTTTGTAATATTGCTACAGTTATTATTGCCCGATACGCTTTACTCTGCTCTCTTCACTGTTATTGTTGCAATTATTGCAGCTCGTATTGCAACAAAGCACAGAGAAAGAGCGACAGGCAGAGAGAGGGCGAGAGAGTGAGCTTTCAGCTGCTACCTGCGCCAGCTTTTAACTTGTATGCATAATTATCTTAGTTCCAATCAGACTGTAACTGTAGATTTGCAACTTTCTATGCACTCGCATTCTATGCACACCCTTAGACAATGTTTACATGCGAATTGTATTACGTTTTCGTCTGGTTTGTGCTCAAATTCGAAGATATTGTCGCGTGTGTTTATGCAAAGGGGCAGACAAAACCTTGTCAGCTGTGCTCGTTGAGTGGCATCGTTCATCAGCTCGACGACAGTGTCCACTTTTTGAATTCATCTTTTATTTTTATTTATTTATATTTTTTTTTTTTTTTTTTGCTGTGCCTTTTCATTGACACCGAAGAAGAAACCCGAGTAACCTGTTTGTTTGTCTCGCTGTCCGCAGTCGCCTATCCGTTCAACTCTTTGTGTGCGTGTGTGTGAGTGTGTGTGTTTTATTTAATTGCATTTTTTCTTCAACATTTAATAAAATAGTTTTCAGCGTAATTTATTGTTGATAATGTGTGCATCGTATTTTTTGCTATTTGAAAAAACTATTTATCGATGTATGCAAAATTTATAAAGAAAAAACTATTAAATATTGAATAGTTGTTTATAGCATTACCTAAAATGCTTAGCTTATGAAATTTAGTTAAATCTTCTAAGGTTTATTTTTCAATATTTTGTGAACATTCTTAATGTTTCGATACGACGAATTTAAAGTTTTAGCAATTGCAAATAAATAAAATAGTTTCTGAATATGATAAAAATTAATTATGTATTTGCCTGTCAGACATCAAATTAGTCTTTTTCGTTATAAACTAATATCCATTTAAATAAAATCAGGCTTACTTCCTGTTCATAAATATGCAATATTTAAGCATTTCAATTGGCGCCTTCATAAAATATTAATAATGCAAATGTCATAAATGTAATAAGTTTGGGCATAACGCATTTCGCAGACAAATACATAACAGATTTATATATACACATATATACATATATATATATACACGTTGTATGCAAGTCTTGACTCGTGTTTCTGAGCTGCGCTTTTGACGTCTTCTTCAATTTCAATTTCAATTTCACTTTCATTTTGCGGTTTGCCGTTTTTCCAACAGGCGACCGCACTGCTGCACGCAATCTACAAGTTGTGTGTGTGTGAGTGTGTGTGTGTGTGTGCGTGTGTGTGTGTGTGTTGCATGTAACATGTTGTAACAACAGCTGGAAAATTATAACAACAGCAACAACAATTGCAGCTGCAATAAAAACATTTCAATTCCGAAATAATTTTGTTTGCAGCTTTGTTGTTGTTGTTTTTGCTGTCGTTGTTGTTGTTGTTGTTGTTGGCCGTTCTATGGCCCAAGAAATAATAAATAAATAAACGAATATTTTTTTTTGTATTTTCGTTTTGACTGGTTTTTGCAGTTAATCGGAATTTTGGCATTTCTTTTTCGTGGCTGCCGCAATTTGCCCCAGCGTCTGTTTTATTGCTACCCTTTTATTTAATTAGCTGGCGCTCTGCGTATACGCAATATGTTTGCTTGATATTTTTTATCTATTTGTTTTTGTATTTTTTTTTTTTTAATAGTTTTGCCTCTTCAATATTTGCATATATCAATGTGCCTGTGCTGCTGGCACATTACGTATACGACGCATGCGCCACGAACTTCTCACGCGTTCTTCTAAAATGTTTACAATATCAATAAATATCGATTTTGAGACTGGGTACTCCAGGTACTCCAGCTAGACACCTCATACTTGGTATATAAGTAAACTAGAGCTTATGTAGATTTAAAATATATCAATTTTTGGATGTCTTCACAATCGCAAAGCTATCAAATGGAATATATATTGTTTGTCCAATTTAAGCAACAAAATCACCGAAGCTAAACCAAAAATGAATTTCTTTAACATAGCATGGAGCAAAGGGAAGACACAGCATATATCTTTCATCAGTATATCAGTATATATCTTTCTTCTTCGATTATGTATAAACAGAAGGAAGTTTAGGGTATCGTCTAGTCTGGCACATCCAGATTTAAGCACTCTCTTTATAGCCAGGCTTAAAAACATATATTTGACATTAAGAAATTCAAATAAATTGAGCTAGAATGCTTAGGGCATTGCCCAGTCGGACACTCTTGTTATAGCCAGGCCTAATATCTTTGCTGTTGCTTTGAACACATTTATCAGAGAAATTAAAATAATTCATCGTATTTTTGGTGCCCTGCCAGGCGAACACATTTGCACAGCTGTTTTCGACTTCGTTAGCTGTCAGCGGCTTTTCAACACACATTCAAGGTACAAGTTCCCAACTCTATTGTTTCGACTGCAAACAATAGAAAATATTCGCTCGCCCTTTTACACAGATACGCACACACACACACACACACACACACACACACACACACACGCACACAGACAAATTGCAGCTGATTTGAAATGTTGAGCAAATGCAAACAGTTCAACTCGCAGACACTTTACGTAATCCTTTCCGTCATCATTGTCGCTTTGGCGCTGCAACCTGCAACATGTAAACTGAGAAATCAAATTTATTATCTTTTGTTGATTCGCTCGGTCTATGCGCTGATTTTTGCAAAACGCCAACAGTTGAACTTTGTTATGTCACTTTGTTATGCCCCACAGTAGATTATGTTGTGATTTGTGTGGGAGGCTGGGAATTCATTTTGGGCATTGGCTACGCGATCAGCTTAGGAAAGTTGCATTTATGTGTCTTTTGCCGAATAGAGCTGGGAAAAAATGTTTGTTAATTAAGATTAAAGCCAAGATATTAAAGGTCTCATTTGAACATATGTTTCAAAGATATGCCATTCATTTGAATTTATTTGAAAGGAAGAATAATTATATAATATGTTAAGGTGTTTCGTTTTGCCATTATTTTAATATTTTTAACCATCATCATTGCCTTGTTGCTGGTTTGTGAGCTTGTGTGTGTGTTTCAAAGAGGTAATGATTACAATATTCAATTGCGATGCACATTATATAATCTTTGAACACACACAAAATACCATAAAGAGCCCGTCATACGATGTGTTGAACTAAAAACTTCACTCATAACCATTACCTAACCAAGCCCAGCTGAAGAAAAGTCCATTACTCATGCGCCCAGCTGTTGCTGTCAGTCGCTGCAGGCCCTGAGAAATGCCCAAGGCATTTTGCACAGCTCGGCACTTATCAAAATAAGTTCATTATCAACTAAAGTGCACAAATAGGCAACTAAGTAGCCGCCAGTGCACAGGTGTGGATCTGACCACCGATGATATCAGCGCCATCGCAGCAATTATTCCATGGCGACGACAGCTGACACATGTCTGATGGCACTTCGCCGGGCCGGGCTGTTTTTGGGGTAGGGCAGCTGCGATTCGGCAGCGTTGGTCAGCTGCTGTCAATGTCAATTAAGCCAAAACGCTGACGCCCTCCGCTTGAAATGCTGCTGTTGTGTCAGCGAATCGGTGAAGAAAGCCAAAAGAAAGAGTAAACAGGCAAGATTGGCATGCCGACGATTGCATACCCTTTTGAACTTAGGGCGAAATCTTGTATCGAACCGTTTGTGTCTAGAGGAGCATAGCTTTAAAAAACAGAGAGTTTAAAGCAAAAGCCATTAAAAATTCCCATAAACAGACAATCGACAAAATGCATTGGCAAAAGGCACAACAACAACAAGAAAGGTAACAGCAACAGAGCAAAGCGACAGATAGACAGAAAGACAGACGCTCGCTCTGTTAAATATGTATGGCAAGTGTCTGTGTCGGCATAATTATGCGGAAGCTGACAATGCAACTTGCTTTTTGGCGGCAGACCGCCCCCCGCTATTACCCCTTCTCGGCAAGACCCCTTGCTGCGTGTGGCGGCTTTCTTAAAATTTTGTTTCAATGCCTCTTGGCATAATACCACACTTACAATGCTCGCAATGTGGCAAAACGATTTAACTGTTGGCTTTCTTGGCGCTTCTGTTTTGGTGACGGCTCTTAAATTGGCCACAAAGCTTAATTGCTTCGCCAAACAGTGCCAACTGTGAAAACTGTGAAAACTCTTGCCGTTTGATGTCTATTACATAATTTTTTACATTTGGCCGTGCACGCGATGCCACAAGCTGTGGAATAAAGACAAATATATGTAAGTAGAAATATATATAAAAAAAAATATGTGAGGTCCTCGGTGGATGGGTTGTTTAAGTGCAACGGGGATAAGACTTCCAATTTCAGTTTATAGCTACTTAAATCCGACTGGCCGACATCTCTTCGTGGTGCAGAAAGGCGGTCAACTTTGGGATTTCTTTATTGGATGAAAATTTGGGCTTGTTTGGGGGATTGTTTGCTCGAAAATTCTATGCAAAGTGGTTACATCTTACCCACACTTCAAAAAGATGTAGGAGAGTTATATTTAAAATATACATTTCAAAGACAGGAAATACCTGTTGGTTTATATGTGTATATCGGTTGGATTTGGTATTGAGTAAGATAACTCTTGCCATAACCATAACCTTGAGTTCAAGAGTCATTTGATCAGCGGCAGCAGCATCATCAACTATACAAAAACTAACCCTAATCGACCTTAATTATGCAAGCGGCAAGCAACGGATTGACAAAATGGCCAAGACAGGCCAAATAAAATATAATTCATTGAGTTTCATTCCGTTTTGAATTTGGTTTTGAATATGATTTTGATTTTTTTCTTAACTGTTTCTGTTGCGCTTGCCGCGTAACTGTATTAGCCATAAATTTATGTTAAGCACATGTGTGTTAACCAAAGACCAAAGACGTAAAGACGTCAAGTTTGGGTGCATTCAATAAAGATATTTTTTTTTATACCCTACACACTTATGTATAGGGTATTTTAATTGTTTCGGCTTATTTTCCACTGCAGGGTAGTGGGTAGTCTTGCCTACTTCTTTATTTTCCTACTCGATTTCCCTTTCTTTTTCGCGGTAGCAATTTTGTGCATTCAATTTGTGTTTGTCGTTGACATTCGAATACGAATTCGTCATAATTTGGCACCTTGATGAATTAATTTCGTTTTGATGATGTTTCATTTTTCTATTGTTTTACTTCGTTCAGGTGAAAGTCTTGCCCAAGGTTGTTCACGAACTTAACCGTTTAGCCGACTTGAACTTACTTTTGCTTCAGGGCCATTTGACTTTAGGGCAAGGCTAAGTGAACTTGACTTGAACATTTGCAAAGCTTGTTGAAAATTCTTATTTAATCAGAAATTATTTAATAATGCATCTCAAATGTTAGGAACTTATTTCATAATATATTTCATGTTCTAAAATTTCTAGAAGCACATTCAATAAAGATTTTTGAATTTTCGAATATTTTGTTGCTAAACCAACGAAAAGTAGAAATTCTACATTCTCAAATTAATAACTTGTAATGTCTGATTGAATAAATTTATAATCTGCTTTACTTAGAAGTGAAATCAACTAGTTACATCAATTTTGTAAATAATTAATTGAACTACACTCATGTCTTTGTAAAAGGAACGAAGCTGAAATCAAGTTCGTTGCCTAAGTCTTTTGATTATAGTTGGCTTATTTTGCAGTTTCCTTGTGGAGTTATTGTCCGCTTCAGCTATATGCTAGCTAAGTAAACTAATTACATCGGCACGTAGCCATTAACCCTTAAGTGACCCACTAATGTCTTCATCTGTAACTGGACTAATTGGAAGTTTGGGCTTAACAGTGGGCTGCGCCCAAACATGCCCCTTCTAAACGTTTGCTTGTGTTGAGTGAAAACCCATTTAATCTCAACACATTTGACGCAAATGTACGCCTCCAAAGCGATCAGCTCTTAGGTTTCTCTCCCTTCACCCCCGTCGAGGCCCACATTGCAGCAACGTTTGCCGGCAACAATTTTTACATAGGCTTCAATAACTTACAATTAAATGTTTAGGAAATTTCACTTTCTGTTGCACATTTGCCTTGGTAAATGGCGCACGAAATCGGTGAATTTGGTGAACGGCGAAGTGCGCTGCCTCCATTTATAGGGCACAGCTGCAGATACTGAAACGCCCATGCATCTCGCCCATTTCTGTTTTGTCATTCTGATTGATTTATAGTGTGTTAGCTGGGCATAAGATATGCTAACAGCTGTATGCTCAATCAAAGTAGTCAAAACATTTATTTATTTTAATGAATGCATCTATTAAATTTGAGTAGCTTTAATGTTTTTTTTTTTTTCAAATTAAAGATAGATAGGTTTTCATATATAGCTTGAATAGCTTGCATTCCTAAACTATAACTTTAAGCCTGAAGACTTCGCGCATGATATAATGAGATATCTATAGAGGATTTTCCCTCTCTGCAAATATCTGTGTTAGGAGAAACATAGGACTATAATATGTTTCTTGACTTTATATATTGCTTGATATGTAGGGAGTAAGCGGCCTTGAAGGCCTATTTAAGGTGTGAAGAGTAGGAACCCTAGATTAGGCTTCAGGAGCTTCATACATTAAATATACCTTCATTTATTTTATAAGGCTCCTAAAATCTAGTTTTATCTAAATTCTAAATTTTTAATTGTAGTTAGTTGTAGGCAAAATTACCTAAAATATTAGTTAATTTTTAGCAATTTCCTGCACAATTTTCCTGCCTTATATTGGGCGTGGTTACGACACACATTAATTTGCTGTCTATATACTCTATTCATTGTAAAGATCTCTCTCAGTATAAAACCAAAAAAATATACTAAATTTATTTTATTTTTGAAATTTCAACATCTCATTCTCAGCTTTCCTTGTTTTTTTTTTGGGTATTTTCCAGCGCTTGCAAAATTCGCATGTAAATTGCCCTAAAAATTGATATCTGAAAGCATGCTGTCGCACGTCTGCCTTCCGTTTCTCCCTCCTTCAGGCTGAAAGACAAATGTCATGCAATTTGTTGTAAGAGTCGAAGTTGCAAAATGCGACAGCAGCTGTCGTTGTTGTTGTTGTTGTCATTTCTGTTCGGTTTGTTGTTGTTGATGTTTTTACTGGGCAGTTTTGTTTGTTTTCAGTTGGTTTGTCAAAGGTCTGGCCATGTCGATGTGGATGCTGCCGCCTCTTGCCACGCATCGCTGCATCATTATTGACAATTAGCCGCATTCGATGGCATTTACGCCCGGACGGATGTGCGGCAACAACAACAACAACAACAACAACAACAACAGAAATATAGCTGATATTTCTTAGTTTAGTAACGTTGCCTTATAGCTTCTTGGCCTTACGCAATAATTAATTACAGCCAGCGGGCCAGAAAAGTAGGTTTTCTACAATAAATACAAATTTTTAAGTGTACAAGCAACAACAAAAACAACAAAAAGCTCCAAAGTTGCAACAGTTTCTCGACTGCCAGAGGATGCCAGTATAAAGTTTTTTCTACTAGCATAATGTCTATTTGAGCGTAAACAAATTGAGCGGGGTGTGGGCCGGTGGTTATATAGACAGAGAAGAGCTTTGGATTAATGGAGAGTGCATTGAATGCATGTTAAATGCAATTTGCATTCTGCAATCCGCAGGCTTGTGGGCAGCGGAAAATTTTAAGGTGCGAGATTGTGAGTACTTGCATTATGCTGCATATACTTTTGGACAATTTTTAAGTAAATAAAAAATGCAGACATTTACTTATTTATAATAATAAGCATTATGATCGCTTGGAAATTTAAACGATTAGAATTTAAAATATGTATTTAATCGCTTAATTTGGAGAAGGCTTTCATGTAATGGCAATTATTGGTCCAAAGGAAACCGGTTGACATTCCAGTATTGAGCTTAAAATATCTCCCAATATATATACAAAAAAAATATATATATATTTATATATATTTACAGATCTTTTCACATTTTGTTATATTTAATCACTGATGCTACATGATTTTAAATAAATGAATAATCGTTATATTAAAAATATATCATTTAAAAAGAAAATTTTTAATTTCTCAGCAATCATAATGCTTTTACTATATTTTATGCCTATTTAAATATATTATGTTTATTTGCCTTTATTTAATGTTTGTCTTATTTCATTCTTTCTTTGCAGCTTTAGTTTTTTAAGGTCATTTACCATAGACAACAGAAGATGTTCTCAATATTTTGCTCCATCACAGCGCTTGTATTGGCCAGCACAATATGCCAGGCACTGCCAGATGTAAGTACGATCCTCAAATAATGCCTTGAGTTTGATATAGGCCTATCACGTTTTCGGTTAATACCGAATGGGAACTCATCAATCAATTCAATGCAATAAACACATTTTGGGGGGCACTCGAGAAGACAATGGCCGTAAACTGTTGTATTTGACAATAACAGCAACAAATACTTGACACAAATGACCGCCAGTAACAATTTTCATTGTCATTTTGTGGCTCGCGTTCGCATTGTGCGTAATTAGCATTTAAAAACATTATTTGTATATTAATTAAATTACAAAACTATTTAAAACGAGCAAAGACTCGGAGAGGATTCAATTATATGACTCCGTCAGAGTCGCTCTCGCTCTCTCAGTCTCTGGACAACACCCACAAGAAGCAAATGGCATTGTTATTAATTTTATGCACACTTATATGAGTGTGTATGCCTCTCTCTCTCTCTCTCGCTCTCTCTCTCTGTGTCTCTCTGTGTGCGTAGCTCTCATTGAAAACACAAACGCAAGCTCAGCTTTTGTCTCATAGAAAAAGCTTCGCCAACGAATTATGGCCAAGGTCAAGTGTAAAAAGTTCTTGTAATTTTTTTAAATGAATTTCAATCGTTGCTTTTTTTTACTGCTTTTGTATTCACTTTTGTGGCTTTTTTTGGTTTCGTGCTGAGCTAAAAACCTTTTCCCCAACCCCTTTGTTTTTTTAATTCTTTAACATTTGCTGGCCGATTTTTAATCTAAAATGAAGCTTGTTAAACTGAATTGTATTTGGGTGAACACGCTCAGCTAGTTGTTTGAATATTTGTATAGTCACTGAAATAAATTGAGTTCCTTACAAAATATTTCCTCATTTGTTCATAACAAGAGAACTTCTTCAAAAAGTGCATCCAGGGGATAAGCTATGCATGTTTGAAAACTTGTAACTGAGTGGACTGACTTTGGAAATCAGTTTCAATTCAAAAGAACAATACTCAGTTCATGTTTCTGTCAAAATTTGAAATTGATTATTTAAATATTCTTGTTGTTTCACAGATTGATTGCTTCAAATTAAATGTATCCACCTCTGATAATACATAAAATCCAATTTGAAATTTTTCACCATTTCATATTCTATTTAAATTTAGTCTTGAGCCTAAGTTCATGCACATTTATTGCAAGCTCAGCAAGTCAAGCATATTATGGTGAATATTTGACACTTTAGACTTGAGTAGAGAGTAACTGCACGTCGGTCAGTCTCTATTGAACTTCTCTACTCTATTAGACACCTGTCAAGAAAACATCTTTTAATCTATTCCCACCCAAACACATTTATGCACATCTTACTTTGTGAATCTGTTCGACATTTGCTCCAGCTTAATCTCAGTCATTTCCTTGACACCTCCATATGAGAGCAGAAATGTACTTTAGATGGTTATAGGCCCCTTCGTGTTTGAATACTACCGGAGATGCTGCTTGCAACACAGCTCAGACTGAGGCTCAGTATCAGATTGCAACTAAGACTGCAATTAAAGTTGACTTTTTTGCGTGGCTCGTTAAAGCAGCGGCAACAAGCGGCAGCATCATAAAACAAAAAAAAATCTATGACGAGGCCCTTCAAATCGCAACCAAGCATAAAAATTATGGAAACCAACAAGGCAAAGCTAAGACAACAACACGAAACTTGAAGCGATTCAAGAATCGATTCGTTATAACTGCATGAGTCAGCCGATTGCAGCTTGCAGTTGTTGTCATTGTTGGTTTATATATATATATATATATATCATGTGCTGTCAAAAAAACGCAAACAAAATATGAAACTGAAACTTCCTCAACCTATACCTATATTCCTTAGACATTGGCCAGGAATAGATATCTTTTGCAGTTATGCTGGCCATATAAATTAAGCCTTTTAATTGTGAAATCAAGAACTTTGGCGTTTTAAATTTGTGCGGCACGATCTGTTGTTGTTATTGTTGTTGTTGTTATTACAGTAGTTGCTGTTGCCTGTTGTTGTTGTTGTTTTTGTCAGACATTGCTCGGGCCGCTTGTCACGCTTGACTTTTATCTTCAGGTTTTACTTCAGCTTGGGTCACGTTCCCGTCAATGGCCGAGTGTTACTTTTTTATAAAGCTGCATATATGCGAAAACGGGTGAATAAGCTCCCAAAGTTAACTTTTATGTAAAAAGTGCAAAATATTCAGAAGCTGAAGCGTCTAGAAGAGCTTAAGTCCCTGACAGCACACACAACTTTCATCGCATCACTCAACGAAGTGGTTGCAAGATTTTTCGTGCTAATAGCGCCACAGAGAGCGTTTGATCTCATTCTTTTTTATAACGTACGGGAGCTGACTTGCTAAGATATTATATAATATTATTAGAGCGATCCTATTCAAATGGTGGGATTCCGACTGTTTAACCCTGTCACAACCCAAAGGTCCGAACCGAACCCGAACCAAGCAATTAGAAATGTCAAAGACTTAACCCAGAAATAAAAAAGACACTCATCTAATTGAAGCAAGCACTTTTAATAAAAAAACTGAATGTTAATGAAAAGTAATTAACAAGGCCAATTGAAAAGTACCTGTCAGGAAGCCAGCCCGTTCGCGTCTCGACGAAATGACTTTTCATTAGGCGCAGTTGAGATCCCGGCTAATATGCCAGCACCCTGAACTTTTCACACTTTGTTAATTTTGCTTACAAACAGAGAAAAAAAGGTTAAAGAAGTGGAAAAAAAAGATTGAAAATAACAACATGCTTGGCGCTAGCAGAAGCATTTGCTAATTTCCGCCGCTTGTCGGGCGAGGCAAGGTCAACACACCCAGCGAAAAGACCCCAAAAATGAAACAACAACAGCAACAGGCATTATTATTTTTGTGTGTTGTTAACTTTAGTGTCTGTGTCTGTCGCACAGTCCGACTGTCTGTTCATAGCTGAAGTGTATAATTTCTCTGTATGTGGTTGGTTAGCAAAAGGTCGAGTGACACTCTTCCGAACGTTCGTATTGAGAGTGCGTCGATTTTTGGATGTTGACTTTGACCGGCGCAAGAAAATTGCACAACGCATGGACACAGTGGTTGAGATAAGTGTGTGTACGCCATAAACAGAGTATTGGCCTCCCCGTGGCCAATTTGAAGCACACTTTTTGCGCTAATATGGCGGCTACACCTTTTACTTTGAATCGGTGGCTGCCACAATGTTGTTGTTGTTGTTGCACTTAAGCATTCGCCGTCGTAGTCACCATGCCGGTTATATCGGGCGTATGAGTAATCACACAATTTCAGTAATTGCGCGCACAAAACAGCAGCAACAACCGGACAACCAGCAGCGAACAGCAACAACAACAACAACAACAACAACAACTACAGCAGCCAGCCATACAAATTACAAACACAAATTTCACAATATCCGTCATTGCACCCCGTCGAAAATTAAAGCGCGCGCCGCTTGGACAAATCGCCAGCAGCCGTCGCCGTCGCCGTCGCAGTCGCTTATGTGAGCCATCGATGAATGATTAGCTGGGGTTCAGCTCACTAGTTCACGGATTTATTCAGCTGTGACATCCAGGTGACAGCTACAAAATGGTTTTGAACCGAACCTTAAATCTAAATTGAGCAGAAAGCAAACATATCTAGCTTTCCAACCATTGCATTTAACCAACAAGCATTTTGTTTGTTCACAATTTAAATTGATTTGATTTAGTCATTTCAGTCTTTTAGTTCGCTTTGTGTTTCATTTGAATTGTGCTTTCCAGCCCTGATATTCAAGCTTAATCGCTGGCGCTGATCTTGTTCATCAAATGGCTTTTGCATAATTTGCTGTTAACTCCCATTAATTGCAATTAATTGGCAGCAAGGGCTGCCCCCCCTGTGTCTCGGGCCGGTTAGCTGGTCAAGTGTTGATTGGTGTTTGGTGTTTGGGGTGTGGCCCCATTCGCCATTTGCATATTGCAAATCGCTGCAGGTGCAGCTTTCCAAATGTTCGAATGCCAGCCAGGAAGCCCTAAGACAATCACAGCAGCATCGTTCCATGTGCACACAGCACTTACATGCACTCATTCAACATTCATTTACACTCATAATTAAACTCAGAGCGAGGCACTCGAGACGAAACTTGGCGCGTCATCGGCAATGCTTTGGCTTCAGTTTCACTTTCAATGAGCAAAAGTTGCTCAATGTGCAACAGTCCAGAGGCCCAGACTCGACCCCGAAAGAGCTGCCGTTGCGGCTCGTCGTGGCGTCTGTGCTGTGGTCAAAACACGTTTCAAATGAAAGTAAAAACTCTTTGGCATTGTCTGCTTCAGGTTTTCTTCGCTCTTTGCGTTTGTTCACCTGTCGCCTTTGTTTCACTTGCGCTCATTTCGCCGGCCATTTGTATTTCAATTAAAACAGAATTATCATGCTAACTGTTATACAACGGACAACAACATTTTTCAAAATAAAAACAAACAAAAAACAAACAAAAATTATTGTCTATGCTGCCTGGCACTATGTTGTTTGCCTTGTCTTCTTCTTGGCTGTTTATTTTTTTTTTTTTCTTCTTTTTTGCTGCTGTTGTCGTCATTTGCTGTACAATTTTGTCTCATTTCGGTGCGACGAACCATTTGTGGTTTTATAAAATTCAAGAAATTTACCTAAATTGCCGGGCAAACTTGCATGTCACTTGCAGCAAGTTCGCTGTCTAAGTCTTTTGTATTTGCCTGCCGGCCTGTGCCAGTTGTTAAAGGAAATTCTAGTCTGCGTTGACCCTGTAACAAATTTTGTGAATTGGCGATTTGTTGCTACCGTTCGGAATGTAAGCATGCGGTAAATATTTGAGCTTAGAAAAACTGGAAACGGAAATGCGGTATTCGATTTGGGAATATATTCGAGCTGAAAATGAGTATTGAATAATGTATAAGTAATGCAATTTGGCGCAAAGAAATAGAGGCTTTGCATCTATAAGAAACGCGAAAACTATAAATCTACATGATTATATTGACAAATCAAGACAGACTGTGATCAAGAGCAATTGCGTGCAAACGCGAAATTACATTTATAACAATAATAATAAAAAACCGAATTTGTTATTAATTAAAATATGCAATTATTGTGCTCTCAATACAAGTTTCATAGTTTCGAATACACGCATTGCCGATAACAGTACACGCAAACGGTTTTAGCCGTTTGTTTGTTTTTTATTTCTTGGATTTCTTCAGGGCCCCCCTCCTTCCGCCCCATAGAAACCCGAACGGCATGCGACGATCTGACCCTGACCCACTTGCTGAAGATACTCGCGCGCTGCGACCGACAAAACGCGGCTTAGTTCAGTTGAGTTAGGTTCGGTTCAACTCGGCTCAGTCGTTAATCTCTAGACCACTTGAGTGCCCGTGCAAACAAAAACCGTATAAAACTCGAACCGTATAAACACTTGTGCCCATGGGTTGTGTTTATTAAATTGAATTATTGATAAATTTTCAATGAATACTTTAACAATTGCTACAATTTGTAGCAGCCAGCGGCTGTATCCATGTGCATATAAATTAATAAATCTCTTTCTCTTTTTATTTTTGCTTCTCGCTTCGTTAGCTGCACAAACAAATGTCGCCAGAGCAACTGCTCTCAGTCTTCCATGTGGACACACACGATGCCGTGCCGCACTATGAGCTCGTCCAGCTGTTCCATCACACATCGCACGGCGGCCTACAACGCAAGCGTCGCAGCATCGGCGAACAACTGGCAGCCACTGTGCAGCAAAAGCCGCATCATGTCAAAAAGGATCTGAGCAAGAATGCCTACTACAGCGAGCTCAAGCAGCAAGCGGGCGCGTCTGGAGCTGGAGCTGGCAGCGCTAATCAGCTGCTTGGCGGCGATATCAGCTCCATCAAGTCGCACAACGTTTCCTTCAGCGCCTTCGGGCGGCACATGAATCTCACGCTGCGCGCCACACAGGGTCTTTTCAAGGGTGCGCCCCATGAGTTGCGCATGTGGTCGGTGGGCAGCGAGCCAAATGCTACGCATGGCCTGGACTTGCAAGAGATTCTCGATGAGCAGGTGAGTTAAAAAGAACTAAAGAGTTTTATTATGGCTGCACCGAGCACTTACTTACAGCTGGCACTGTTTGCCTTGCGATCCGAATTCTAATAAGATATTTGGCACTCCTACCTACGGAATTCGATAACCTTTATTGTTATTGCTTTGCTATGATTGTTTTTGTTATTATTATTGATCACGTTTCTTTGTGGCTACCCTTTGATTGCTTGACTTAACTCTTGTTGCACTTTCATTGTTACATCATGATTTGTAATATTCGTTGTCTTTGGTCTTTTATTCGCGCTCTGGTATACGTTTCCAATACCCTGTACCCACGGCAAATAGTTGCTATTTTTTAAAATCTAGCAGAGAAAACTATGCCATGTCCATCTGTCTGTCCAATTAGTATGGATGTATGAATGAGTCCAACTCAAAGACTGGATGGGTTAAAGAATTCACATTCACAAATACAGAGTATTGCCTAGTCGGGCACTCTTGACTAGAGAGCTAGCTTAACTTTATTTGTATTTCTCTTCAGCTTCGTCTTCCGCTTCAGGTAACCAGACTTTGCAGCTTACTTTGTGTCTTATCAGCATTCGCTTTAGTTGCGCTTCGTTCGCCGATCTCCTCTTGTGCTTTATTGTATTTTTGTTGCATTGCTTGTATCTAATCAAAATTAATTGGCCGTGTGATAAAGAGATTAGAGCCATGCTCAGGTTGGGTTGGACTACTGTAGAGCTCGTTTTGAATTACATTTGCTGTTATGCAATTGGCTGCCACAAATAAATAAAAAATTAACCAAATTTTAAAGTCAAGGACGTGCGGAAATCGGCTTATATAAAGTAGGTAGCTAGATAAGCACATGACAGTTGTTGACACTAAAACGACAATTGATAGTCTTAAGAGCATGTGACACACATTATGTAAAGTCCATATAGCAAAGGCAATTATTATTAATAGGAATTTCAATTTGATTGAATTGATTTATAAACATTTAATATGTTAAGCTGCATTTGACAAACTAATATATATATATTTTTAAGATTGCTTTCTGCTCAATGCGAATATTTTGATTTCAATTTTATTTATGTTATATGCCATATACAGGAAAAACAATTTAATTTCCAATTAAAGCCCACACACACACACACACCGAAAACACTTTTCGTGTCTGTGACTCTGCCATGAACATGAACGTGACTTATTTCAATTATGATTGCTCGCTTTCTTTTGCCTCGCTTCTATACACTTACGTTTTACAGTAGTTGGGTAGTATTTCTTTATACAAACACATACATCATTATGCCCAATGGCAGGGGCGTTACCGCAAGTGCAAGTGAATTTTTATTGTTATTACTTACTAGGTTATGTCCATTTATTTGTTTTTGCTAGCCCTCGTGGGTTGTGTGTGAGATGGCAGGCTTTAAACAATCGATCGATTGCACTTTATTATACGTTTTACTTTCGGCGCTTATTACCAAATGGGATTTGTTGTAGGAGCGCGAGTCAGTTGTGCGAATAAAAATGATTTTAATGCAAGACACAAACTTCGGAAATGAAAGTGAAATGTCATGTCAGACGACGAGGCAAGGAAAATAAAAAGATTGCCGGGTCTCTCTCGATCTTTTGGACTTGGTCGACTGTTCAGTGATTTATGTGTGATAATTCAACGCTAAAGCCCATGCGCAATGCGGAAAGATTTATGTGAGCCTTTTTATTGGAAGATTTTAGCTTATTTTTTAATTAAAATGAAATGCGACATGCTTTTATGCAACATGCCACAGAGTCACAGACCCACGCACGACATTTTCCAAGTGTCTGCATTTTGGCAAGTATTTCTTGGCTAAAAGAAAAACTTTGACTCATGCCACAAAAAGCTGCACGGCAAATGGCCTCCAGTTGTGGACACTAACCGCAGCAACAATTTTATATTTGCTGTATGAGATTTTTGTTTGGTAATGGCGGCACTTTGTCAGAGACCTTCCATCAAGAAACATTTATTCTAATTTGAGGCATGAATTGTTATTTTTTTTTTGGCAATTTTTGTGGAGTTTTTTTTTCGTTTTGCCGCATTGTTTGGAATTAACTTGAATTTAAGAGTCTAACCGCATGCGGAAAAATTTTGCTCGATGACCGTTTGAAAAACCGACCCCGTTTTTAAGTGTTAATCAAAAATAGTTTTGCTGGGAAAACAAAAGACTTAAGCCACAAGCTTGGCAAGGGGAAATTTATTTGGCAGCCGCAAAATTTAGCAAATTGCCTTAGGTATTTTTTTGTTTTAGAGTCTTAAAAGTGAACTTTCAAATTTATTTAGACTTTAATTGCATTTTTTTTTCTAGCACAAGTTGCACTGTCCTTTGCATTAAGCTGATGAAAATAAGATTCGTGCAGTGAAATTTCCGTTCAATATCTAGACAAACAGTGAAGGCGGCAACGCCCCAAAGTTTTCTTTGTAATTTATTTTTGCTGCCACGAAAAATAAAGGCAAACACAGGCGTCGAACGGCACACCCACCGCCGCATTCAATCGATAGGCTCCGCCAAAGGTCAGGCGCAAAAAATTAAATAAAATACAGCATATAAATAAAGGTGCAGGTTTCCTCGGCCTGCCCCAATGGTAGCCGACTTAACGGGCATAACAAATTTTTGCAAACAGGAATATGTTCGTGGCTGTTAAGGGGAAAATGGAAGTTCGCACCACGAGTAACTGTCGTGTCGTGAACGCCCGTTTGATGGAAATATTTATTAAATACTTAAATATTTGAAGGCTCCAAATCTTTAGAGAATTTAGCTTGCGCAGCCTTGGCACTTTATGGCATCCATGTGAAATATTGTTATGTAAATAAGCCCGCAGTAGACTGCACGGGCAGACAATTGTCAGTAGCCTTTTATGGGGCAACAAAACGAGAACAAACCCAACTCCTGGGCTTGGCCAGCGGCAACACGAGACGAGTAAGCCAAGTTTATGTTGCCGGGCCAACTGCCACAGTTACAATGCTAAAACAAAAGAATTGGCCAACAAATGTGCAGCACTTCGCGACCTGCGCAGAGGTGCTTCATTCTCCAAGAGCCGTACCCCAAAAAAAAAAAAAAAAATGCAGCCTATTGAAAGGCAACTAATTGAGTTTTCAAAGCTGTTGCCAGCGCCAAAGCAAACAAAAAATGCGTTTTTCATAGTGCATAATTAAAATGTTATTAATGCAATTGGTGCAGATTTCACAAGCAGCAGCTCCCCAACGAAATACATACGTATAATGCATAAACGAGCCACTAACTGGAGTACCTTGTCATTTCAAAACGACTTCAACTTGTATTTGGGGTGATTTTGCAGCGGTGCGAGGCGCCGAAAGACTGCTTGATTAATGAGCTCGTGATTATGGCCAGCGTTTGGCAGTTGAATGAATTTAAAATTAGCTCACTGTCCCACTGTCTCCCACTCGGAAAAGTCGTCTAGCCGTCGCATAGAAAGCAGCCGCATAGCGAATCAGCAGTTGCCGTCCTCGTTGACTGCATTTCGCTAGAGTTTTTTATTTCTCTCCGGTCTGTGCCGCTGCAATCGGTGGTTGCATAATGCTCCCGTGCTGTTGCCTGACAGCCTTTGTTGCTGGCACTGGTTGCCGTTGTTACTGTTGGCCATGCTCATGTTGCAGTTATTGTTAACGCTGTGCGGCTTGTTGCTTTGTAGCTTAGCAACAGCAACAATAGCAACAACAACAATCAGCAAACCCACAAAGTCGATCTAGCTGCAGTCGAGGTTGTTCATTCCCTTTTTTTTTTTTTGCGGCTGCCCAAAGTTTGCACTACAAAAGTACGATTACAACTTTGAGTATCCGTAACGAGCAGTCAGACGCTAGGCATATATTTTCGTCTAGCTCTTTGCCTTTGCCAAGAGATGTCTGTTTTAGGAAATTTGCTTATCTGGCGGCCACAAGGGAAAATTTTCATGAAAGTCTAATGCGCGGAAGTGTTTCGAATTTTGAGCGATCTTGTAAAAAACACTTTGATCATAATCCAACATAGCCTTAAAATTCGCATCGCTTACAGAAATAATGCAAAAGCAATCAAGAAGAATACAATAAAGCTGAACCTTTGACTTAAGATCCAATTAATGCAATCTAATGCAAACTTGTTTAGGTTTTTTATATGTACTATTTGTGATGACTGGGCCAGACCCGTCTGATTACTTATGCTTATTCTATTAGCCCTATTTCATTTCGGCCACGCCTACTCCCATCAAAGCATCTTTATCAACCACAGACAAAGTCACACAGCTTAAAGGTCACTGATTTAGATATATAATTTTGTCTTTCAGTTGAGAAAGATTTGCTTAATTATTTTTCAATTTTATCTTTACCTTATAATTCAGCGCACAAAAGATTAGATTGTTTGAGAACATTATTTAAAGCCTTTTCGAAAATATGCGGCTAGGGTGCTTATTCATGATGCATGCTGCTTAAGTTAACAAGTTATCCTTGAGCCTATTTCAGAGTCTCTCGGGCATGCACTGAACACATTGTTGGGTAACCAGAGACCGATGTGTAAGTTGGTTAAAATAGAGATGTTTCCATGCGTTCTTATGTCTTGAATATGTAGTACAATTCATTATCAAATCTCTACATACAAATTTAAATGATTCATGCTTTATACACTTTGAATAACTTAATCAATCTAAAAATGCTTGCCAATGTGTAGCTCTGTACACTCTATTATTAAAATTTTAGGCATATAAACCTTTACTTGAAATATGTTATTAATATCAGAGATATACCTTCAAAAATCGCTTTACTCTCTTTTATATTTCTGTCTGCCTACTTTTCAATTAACGAAAACATATGTAGATGTTAAGCTGTTACCTTCATTGGTACGTATTATCTTGACTGGTGCTCACACACGTAATTGTCTACGGCAGTTTATGCTGATACGTTAAGCTCGAGCGAACAATTGAAAAAATCTGACATAATCATAACATTGATCATCGCTGACCGAATGAAATGTATAATTAGCCAAATAATGGGCAGACAATGAGACTCTGTGGCCGTTGCCTAGGCCCACAAAGAAACAAAAAGCCTTGGCATTGTGACGGCCAGAAGACCAAAATCAAAACAAACAAACAGCCTGCACTGAAATCAAGTCAACTGTGCTGTGTTTTGTGACTGGAAGCGTATCGGCTTGTGCCTGTGTCAGTGCCATTGTGTGTGCAGTGCATAATGGTGCGTAATAAACACGCACACCAAACCAAGTCTGACACACACACATACACACACACACACAGAGACATCGATAAATGGAAATCATTATGCGCGCGTCGAGGCGGCAGCCAACGCGTCGTATGCGTAACCACCAAAAGAAACGACGCCCACTCGGCCACAGCCACGACGCTGTCGCTGTCGATGTCGCTGCTAATGCGTTAATTGTCAGTTAGCGTGGTTAAATGGCTTGTGGATTTATGTGCTTAGTAGCCGACCGAAAATCTCTTGGATTGGGATATATCAGCGTGGGTGTCACACACACACACACACACACACACACTCTTTACTTCTAAGGCGACGGGGCTTTCATTTCCAACAATGGCGTGTTAAGTAACCAGCATGGACATAATTCCAACCCGAATAGGCATTTCACATTTAAATTGCCAGACGTTCGCACAAAAGTTCAAAGGCTAATTTTCAATTCGACAAGTTCGTTGCCTAAGTCATTTGATTAGATGTGCGCGTTTTGGGCCTGTTTATCTTTTCTTTTTTTTTTGAAATGATTTGCATTCGCCAAATTAGCTATGAGAAATTTAGAGCGCTGCCCGGAAGTTGTTAAGAGCAAACCTTTTACTTTCGTGTACTCTCTTTTTAGGAAAAATATAATACTTGTTTCATGAGGTTTGACTTTTGCTGCTGTTGCGGCTCAAGAAATTTCGGTAGGCCATCAAATTAGTTTGCGCTTTTCTGGAAATAACTATATTATCTTCCACAACTTTCTCGACCTCACTCTTTACATAATTTGTATAGCATGTACCCATTGAAAATGTAAGAAACAGACAGAGGGAAGCATCACTGACCCGATAAAGTATATATATCTAGCCATTTTTGACTATTTGTCCGACTGTAGCATGCCATGTAACCGTTTTTATTTCCATTGTATATGATAAAGGCAAGCAGTATATAGGACCTAGAATACTGCACTTGAATTTACATATATGTATATCCTAGCGCTTGTTAGTTACACGCATTAGGTTGTGATATTAAAGCCTTGAATGACCCGAGAATAAGCAAAGAAGCTATCCTAAAATGCCTTTCACTTTGTGAAGGGTATCTCATAGCCAGCCTCTTTTACTGTATGGCAGTGGCAGAGTAGTTGGCTTGTCTGCTTGTGCTTTAAATGATTCTCTTAATGACACCCACACATCTGTCTGTCAGAAAGCTACTTTTTAAGAAACTGTCCATTTTCTTTTTTGACCCACAATCTTTCATCTAATTGCTGCCGGCGTATTTCTCTCCATAAGCTGTTAATGAGGCGCAATTTATAAAAATAATATGCAAAATACTTGTAGAAAGGCAACAAAATTGTATGGCGCCAATTTAGATAAACAGCCCTTGGGGCCAGTCGGACACTCGAAAGTATTTTAGCTTCCAGTGAGCCAAAGTAAGTGAAGTAGCCGCAGTAACACAGGCGTGTGAAGTGCGATTTACATAACCGCCCAACGGCAGAGCCCACATTGGAATTGCACAAGCAATTTACAGATAGGCAGATCGTATCTGTGGGCAGCGATCTGCATAATGTCTTGTACCCATTTGTAATTAAAAATTTACGATGTCGTTAATAAAAAAATTGACACCAAATGCGAGACAGCGACTGCAATTTACAATTCACGGCTTACAATTCATACCTTACTTAACGTTGGCTAATTAAAATTGCGGCTAGCCGCAGCAGAACAAATTCAGCCGAAACGGGCACAATTGTCAGCTAACAAAGGAAATTGGTGCAGTGGCATGCAAAGTTGCTTCAAGAGCATTTACAAAAAAAAAAAAAACAACAACAGCAACACGAGACAAACAAAAAATTAAAATAATACTAAAAATAAAACAAAAGTTCGGTGCTGCAAACGAGTCGCGGCCACGTTAAGTGGCCACCGGACACCAACGGTTCATAAATATGGCCAAACACTTGGCCAGTGGCTGCAACGGTGACAAAAGCAGCAAAAAAACTATGGACAACAAGTGCCTTGATTCTTGGCAGTTGGCAGCTGGATTAGAAATACAGAAATACTCAAATACGTGAGCCATTTGGTGTGGGGGTCGCTCTTGTTGCTTTGAACTTATTTCCACAAGGTCGTTAGCCAAGACATGTCAGCCAGCCCGTTAACAACAACAAATTAAGCCATAAATGCTTGTTGCACATGAAAATTGCTTTTTATTTGCTGCTGCGTTTGCGTGTCAACACGTTTCGCGGTCAACAGTACGACACCCAACTGCCACGCCCCACTCTTCAAGTGCCAGACAGCTCAGTGGTTTGATTAATTGTCAGCCAAGTTGTGAAAATTGCCTAAAATTTACCTTTTGATTCTAATTTACTCAATCTTCCTTATGTCTTATATCTTAGTAAGACGAGATGAAAATATATATGTTTAATTGTTGTTTCTTCCTTTTTTTAAATACTTTAAATATTGTTGATTTCTAAAAATAAATTGTATCAATTCCATTTCTCTATTCCAATCGCTTTTGTCTTTTTAATTCTTCTTTGTGTCATATCCTTAAAAATTTTACTGACACCATTTGGTTTGCTTTCATTTATATAAAGAATATAAAGTACATACTTAATTTTAATTTCTTTCGATTATGAATCTCTTTTATTTTTTTTTACGGTGCTCTTGTAACCTTTAGGCGTAATATTATTGCATTCAATTTTATATTGTGAGCTCTTTTCAATTTGTTAACCACATCTTCCGCTCCTGGCCGATTGTTCAGTTAACCCCCAGCTGATTTATGGCCTTTGCGGCTAGTCCGCTGCTTTCATCGCATGTGGTCAACTTTTTGGCCAGTGGCTATTTGGTCACTTTGCAGTGACTTTGATTTTGGCACTTGGCTTAGTTTTATGGCATGTTTTTCGTACATATATATTATGGCTGCGGCCAGTTATGAAAATGATTTATGCTTGTAATTTGATAGAGCGCCGCGGACAAGTTTTGTGTCTCAGATTTGGCGGCCTGGTCCACGATACGCGATACGCAGTCAATGCCAAATGCTGATGTCAAGTGTCAGATTACATTTATTTCAATATTTATTACAGAATTAATGGGCAGGCGCAGCGGCAATTAATTTAATTAGTCGCACATTTGATTTCTCAGCTCCCAGTGAACACATTTTGCAAGCTGAAAGCTCAAACACCATGCTAATTCCAATGAAACACATTCCCCCTGGGCCTTGCACAGAAATTTGGCAACCAGCATCTAAGCCAAGTTGCCTTGAGTCGAAAAGTGCAAAAAAAAAACAAGCCGAATGTCGATGTCAAAGGATTGCAACAAGAACGGAGCGCAACTGAAACCAGATCAGCAGCCAGTTGGCCAAATGTCAAAAGCTTAAGCTTCAGTTGAAGCCACGGCGGCGTAGTTTTCATGGTCAGGCTCAGAGAACAGCACGGCACACACGGCGCATGAGTGACGTGCATGTTGAGGCGTCACATTTGCTGACCAAGTGCATAAATCAAAACCCCGCTGCCGCATATCCCACGCAGCTAACAGCACTCCGAGCACGCCGAGCTCGAGCTTCATCTCTCCCTCTCCAAGAGTGGCTCTTAATCTCTGTCCATGTCTTTAACTCTGTCTCTATCGGTTTGCCGGCTGTCTCCTTCTTTTGCTGCTGGCGCATTTAATTATTATACAGCTGCCTGTCCAGCAAACAGAATAACAGACCAGCATTTTTTTATGTTTTATAAAAAATTGCTTTACATTTAGTTCGGCTAAAGCCGCGGCTTGGCTACTCTTGAGCTTGCAGTTGATTTTTGGAATGCTTGGAATGCGACCGTAAAAATTGATTTCGTCGTTAATTGAATGTCGGCGTTTAGCAAATCAAATTAAGCTAATATCCCACTATCGCTATCAATTACAATTTTAGTCGTTAAACTAACTCTCTTTCTTTTGTTATGTTGCAGCATGGCAAGCATGAGATTGGCGAGGTTTTCCAGGATGAGCAAAATATGGCAGCGATTCTGATGCGTCGCCACATGGAAACCGGCGACCTGATAATGGTAAGTATTCAATTTATTTTGCCACTTATGCGTCCTAGAAGGTCAACACAATCAATAAAGGTGCAACAAGAATTTCAATTAGCACGCCCCCTGGCGCTCCGCTCTTAAGATTTTTATGGCTTCATGGATTGTTGTTATGACAGGCGGACTATTGTTATGGTCAAACTTGGACTCTACATTGGCTTTGTGCTGGCCACCAAAATGCGGTTGGTTTTTGTGTGTGTGTGTGTGTGTGTCTGCGTGTGTATGTGTATGGCTGTGGGCTGCACTTGGGGCAGTTACAATTAAACGCCTGCCACTTGCGAATAATTTGCGGATTTAGACAATTTTTGCTGATTAAGCATTAATTTATATCGCAATATTGCGCTACGTTCGGCTACCAAACGACCAGCCGTAATGTGAATTGCATGTCGATCGACATTAGACATTGTCAAATGGCCAGCTGCAATAACAACAACAGCAACAATAGCAACAGCAACAGCAACAACAACTTAAAGAAACACTCACGAGTTGTCGTCACAACCAAATCGAGCACCTTGACCAATTTGCTAAAGTGAAAACTCAGATTACGTATGGGCGATATGCTTTGAAATATGTCTTATAATTGAAACTACAAATGCAATGCAAGATATATTTAGAATAAAAATATCAGACTTAAGAGAACTATGTGGTGCTTACGCCCGACACAAACACCAGAAGCAAAGAAAAGGAATAACAAACGTTATTTAAATATGTTTGTCATGGCGTTCAAAATTCAGGAAATGTCTGCCTTCTACTTCTTGGACATAAAATATCCATCAAATATTTGTGTTCAATTATGCAACTACATACAACATACATCATTAATGCAACAAAGTATCAAAATGTTCTTTTCGCTTCCTCACATAAACGCCAACTCGTTGAGGGTCAATTTTGCCGTCGTCGCTTAGTTTATTAACAACTTTAGTATTTTGCAGATAATAAGTTGCTGATAAATTGCCACAGCTTTTAATTATAACACAATTGGCAATTAACATTTAACCTGTGGCGGAAATTAAGCTCAACACACTTGGGTGTAAAGCAACTGAGTGCAAATATTTGTTGTGTGAACAGAAATAAGTGGAACACAACTAGCTTAAAAAAAAATTCTGCAAAAAGGAAGTAATCGTAGTTAATTTGGGAAATTCTAGCTCAAAAAATTCTGATAACAATACTCAAGCTAATGACAAGTTCCCAACGTGTCCAAAGACTTGAAAGCTTTTAATTGTTAGAGCAAAATGTTGAGATATGCATGAAGACCGAAGCAAATGTCACAAAGCCAAAATTTAATAATCAATAACAGACAAAGCTAATAAAACATTCATGGTAATAGGGTCAATCGAACCAATCAACCATCAGCGTCAAATGGCCAATAAACAAGGCTTCAACTGTGCCGGCTGCTTCTTTACAAAAAATATATTTATATACTTTATATGTATATATTTTTTGGCAATTAACTGACGTGTGTTTATTTTTAATTTGTTAAACAAAAGTTGAAAATGTATTTTTGATAATAATTACATAGACAAGTTGGCCAAGCAGTCAGGCAATAAAAGGTCAAACTGCAATGTCTGGGCCCGGCTTGGCCGACTTGGCCGTCTTGACCGACTTGTTATGGCCAAGTGCGAGTTGCCAGGCCACAAGCCGCATAGAAAAATTGAAAAAGATTTAACAATTCATAAATAATATGTAGAAAATGTTTGCTCGCTGACATTTTGAAGTGCAAAGCGGCGAAAATTTCGCAAGAATGATGCAGCTGCTCGGCCAGACATTCGCCCGACTGGCCGGTTGGCCGGTTGGCTGATTGGCCGGCCGGCTGCCCGCCTGCCTGTCTTCCGGCTTAGCTTTGACCTTAAACGGCTGATAAATATCAAGAAGCCAACCTGTAATTAACAACACAAAAAAATCGACAGAAGATGTCTACGGCAGCAACAATTGCGCAATCTTTGGATTGGTCAAATATAGTTGACGCTCTGAAGACTCTCGGCTATTTTATGGACTCTTAATTAGTCCCACCGAATAGTCGGTACCATAAAATGTGCGTACAACTCCGGCCATAGTCTTAATTATTGACTGCGGTGTGTTGTCTTAAATATTTCAGACATTTTGTCTTAACTGAAGATTGGCTAACAGCCGCATTCTTGGCATGATACATCACACAGTGGGATAAAAGTAAAACAATATTACGCATATAAATCTTAAAATTGCAAATTACTACATTTAATTTTAATTTCGTTTTAAGCTTTGCTTAGAATTAAAGATTTTAGGTAATACTGCAATATTGTAACCACAGTGCAAACAGAAGACTTAAGGCACAAACTTGCTATTGCCCAACTTGGCGACAGAAATTGGTCACTCGCTATTGCTCTAGTTGTTGTTGGTGCTGCTGCTGCTGCTGTTGTTGTTGTTGTTGTTGCACTCTAGGCTTGTTTAATTATGGCCCAGTCTGAGGCACAGCACACAAATTGGCACAACTCTTGGCACGCACTATTTGTTGTTGCTGTTGCTGCGGCTCAATTACATAAAAAGTTACAGAAACGTTGCCGCCGATAGCCCTGCCCCCAACCCTCTGGCATTTGAAGCTGTGGAGCGCAAAATAAAAATAAAATACGGCAAAAGCCACACCATTTCAAATGGGCAGCAGCTACGACCATTAAGTTACACCATGGGTGGGGCAGTTGAAAGGGAAACGGGGCAACGGAATCGCCCCAATTTGGCCAAGGCACCTTGCAAAGTAAACAAAATACCAAAAGACAATCGTTTTGGCGTTTGTTGTACTGTTGAAATACAATATACTATATAAAATAAAACCGAATGAATGTGTGTCTTATATATAGACGCAGACTGAAAGAATATACTTAGGAAATTAAGGTAACATTTGCCAATTATAATGTAATAAGCTTCTACTTATTGTCATATGTAAGCACATTTAACATTGAATTTGTCGACATTCAAAATATTCGCTCGGCTGCCCCTCGATCAACACAATAATCCCAGGCAAATGAGATATCGTCTGACGAAAACAATATTCATGGCTAATTAGACGCACTCTCTGGCCTGAAGCCTTTTGGCCAACATCGTTGGGCGTTTATTAAACAAATGTGTGTGGCAATTAGTTGCGCAAATATCCAAATTGATGACAATAAATTTGACGCTTGGCGCCTGTTAATTGTTTAATACAATTACAAAGTGCATCGCACTGTGGCAAAGTGCGTTGAAATTTATCAAAAATGAATCGAGTTCAAGGACAAACGCACAACAAGACGTCAATCAACATCAACATCAACACTGGCCAACAAAGCGCAATCATAATTTTTCTGCTAGCCAGCCTTAAATGTTTACAGCCAACAAATGGCCTGTGCCATTTGCTGATAAATAAAGCATTTTGGGGCCAACTGCAAATATATATATATGTATATATATACAACCTAGCTTGATTAATGCTAATTGCGCCAAATGTCAGGCAACAGCTGCCCACCAGTTTTTGTTTAAACAAATTACCTAAAAGGTCGTGCAGCAGATGCAGCCTGTAGACTGCTCCAAGCGGGTTTTAGTCTTATATATCCGTTAGTCTGTCAATTAACAGCCTCATAAACATTTTAGATTATCTTTTCAATTTTAGACATCATTTTTCCATCCAAAGAAAAATGTAAAAGAATGCTTACTCTTGATTAAAAACGTTTTAAGAATTTGTTTGAAAATAAGTTTAAATTCGTTTGCATTTTTAGAGTTTCACTTAATCCTTTACCACGAATATTTCACATTTACGGGCGGAATTTTCCATAACCAGCTTCTACTATGCAATTGCTTCAAATGGAAAAGTCGGCTACCTTGCCGTTGGCACTTGGGCTGTGCGTTGATTAGTCAGTCTGTCAGTCGGTCTGTGAGTCAATCAGTTAGTACACACAGTTTCCCTTTTATAGATAAGTTACTCATAAAAGCCGAAATAAAGTTGTTCAGATAATACACGAAGTACATGACATTTATTATTACATAACGCGATTTCTCAAATAACATTATGGAGCTCTTCCTTTTTTTTGACTGGCATTCGAAGACTCCGCCTTATGCCTCTAGCGCCGCTTCATTGTGTTGCCCTTTGCATTCACTTTGACATTTCCAGAGGCAACGTTAAAGATCAAAATGGATGTGCAGCGAGTATTTATGCCATTTGATCAAATAGACACAAGCACAACAGTAAATAGCAGCAAGAGAATCAACAACGAGCCCAATTATTAGGTAGCTGAGGCGACAGCACGTTGCCATTTTGGACACGGGTCTCGGCGTTTTGGGCAACTCTATTAGATACGCGCACATCAGCAGCATCAGCAGCAGCATCATTAAGAAGCCCCAAGTGTTTTGGCAGCAAACTAGTTTTTAGTTGGCTTGCGAGCTTCTTCATCGTCACCTTCTTAACAAATTGTTTACTTGGTGCTTGCTGTTTCAGCCTTGATATTTACACAGAGTTGAACGTGTCTCTGCCTCACAATTTCTATGTGTATTTAAATATCGCGCATACTTATAGACAAACTGGCCACTGCTTTGATTTGCATCAGATGCGGCATCAACGTGTTAAAATCAGTAAAATTTATGTTATTTGCTCTTTTGGGCTGCCGACAGGCGTCGCGTTCGTTGCCTAAGTCTTTCGATTTGACATTCACAGAGACTAGAGAAGCGTCTGCAATAAAATACATTGCCATTAATGCGACGACATTTACAACTTATTCGCTTTTATGGCAGTATCTTCTAAAACATTATACACTATTATTTTTATTACAATTTTCTTAATTCTATAAATTTTTTGAGACCCAGCGTAACTTGAACTTTTTTAAAAACCTACAAAAAAGTTTTTATATATGTATGAGAAAACTTCTTACGCCGTGGCAAATCCAATCAATAATTAAAACAGTTTGCTCTGTACATTTTTTTATTTTCAATTTTGTAAAACAGTGTTATTTCGTTTTGCATCGCATGTAAAACATTTG